GTATGTGCAGTATGAACTTCTAGGTCTTGGATAAAACCTAGCTCTAAACCACTTATTAGGAATGGGAAGCAACTGCCCAAAAATAGGGAGAAAAAACAAATCGATAAGAATAGTGAAAGCACACAACATTTTAATTTAAAACCTCAAAGTTCAACTTTAATTATATGGGTTACATTCTTCTCTTTTATATATGTGTGTGCGTATAAATTAGTTATTAAATCTAAGGAAAATATGAGCTAAGGACCAATGGAGGAGGAAGTTTATATTAGTCAATAAACAATAGATTTTAAAATTTCATTATAGTCCCTTAGTTTTTGACTGATATTTATTTTTTACATGAAATGACCAAATAGCCCCTATAGGTTAAAATAAAAAAGCCACCCCACTGTTATCAGTGCTAGCTGTCAGTGTCCCTACCATCGGTGGAGTCGCCAGTCATCGAAGCTCCAATGCCAACAACACTTTTATTTAAGAATAATTGGTAAAGGTGGTCAAGGGAGGGTTTGATCCCATGACTCCTTAGTCACATAAAAAACTTGATGGCCGCCCTTTAATTATATATGAGAAAAAAATATAAGTAGTAAACTAAGTTTTTAACCACTTTTATGTTATATCATAATGGTGTGTTGTTAATTCCTGAATAGCACTTATTATTTTACTAATTAATATTACTTATTAATCTGACATGAATAATTACAAATTGAGAACTTTAAAACTTTATAGATTTTACTTGTTAAAAGTCTGAATGTATTATTGTTAGTCACGAATGGATTGTTATCAAAATTTAAATAGATACTTATTAATGAAAGACTAACATGTATAATTAAACTCACTCTATCAATTTTTCTAACTTGTTAATTAAAACTCAAATAAATTATTGTTAATTTTAAATGGATACTTGTTAATAAAATTATGTCCATCCTATCTATTTTTATAACTTGTTAAAGCCTGAATGGATTATTGTTAATTTAGAATAAGTTATTGTTAAAATCCATATGGCTTGTTGTTTATACACTTGTTCCATTAGACTTGTAGTTTTAATCATCAATATCAGGTATCCATTTGGATTTTGAGAACAACTCATTCAAAATTAACAACAATTCGTTCAAGCTTTAACAAACTAGAAAAATAGTTAGGATAAGCATAATTGTACATGTTAGTTTTTCATCAATAAGTATCCATTTAGGTTTTAACAATAACTTATTCAAAATTAATAATAGTTCATGTGGGATTTAATAAGCTAGAAAAACAAATAGGATGGACATAATTATTCATGTTAGTTCTTTATCAATAAGTATCCATTCATGTTTTAACAATAAATAATTTAAAATTAATTACAATGATTCATTTGGGCTTTAATAAGTTAGAAAAAGATGGGTTTAATTGTACAAGTGTTAGTTCTTCATTAACAAGTATATATTTAGGTTTTCACAACAATTCATTTTAAATTAACAAAAATATATTCAAATTTTAATAAGTTATAAAAACTAATAAGATGAGTTTAACTGTACATGTTAGTCCTTGACCAATAAGTATATATTTAGGTTTTTATAATAATTTATTTAAAATTAACAATAATCTATTCAGGTTTTAACAAGTTAAAAAATTGATAAGATGGGCTTAATTATACACATGTTAACCTTTCATCAATAAATATCCATTTAAGTTTTGACAAGTCACTTGTGATTAATAACAATACATTCAAACTTTTAACAAGTAAAATGTATGAAGTTTTAAAATTTTCAACTTGTAATTGTCCATGTCATATTAATAAATAACATTTATAAAATAACAAGTATCATTCAGGAATTGACAACACACTGTAACATGAAAGTGGTTAGAAACTTGGCTTACTACTTATATTATTTTCATATATAACTAAAGAGCTTGGTGGTCTAGTAGTCACCAAACTTTTTAAGTAGTCAAGAGGTCATGGGATCAAACTCTCACTTAACTACTTTTAGCAATTATTCTTGAATATAAGTGTCTCTGGTTCTGGAGCTTTGATGACTAGTCTTTGGCGACCCCATCAGTGGAAGAGTTCCAGCAACCTTACCTTTGGTAGGGGTTGCTAGTGCCAGCAATAGTAGGGGTGGCTTTTTTTTTTTAATTCTAAACTTTCAACGCAATTTGGTCATATCATGTGAAAATTAATATCAATCAAGGACTAAGGGACTACAATTTCAAGATCTATTAATTAATTCTTGACTTATATAAATTTTTTCTAGTAGTCCTTGGCTAATATTTTCCCTTAAATCTAGCTTTATTTGATATATGTGAGACTTCCCACCCTAGCTCAAGTGAACTCACACTTGAACAACCTAGTATGAAGTTATTGGAAGACTTAATGAACTTGATTTGATGATTATACTAATCACTAATCACACTTTACTGCCGAAAGATTGGGTAGCTATAGGTTTTATTGAGAAAAATAGTACAAAGAGCCACGTCAACATCGCTGTTAATCCTTTAAATTTATGCATTTAGGTGGATAGATATTGCTTGCATGTGTCTGTACCGAAAATTGAATTGTATGTATAAAAAACCCATTCCTTCACATTTATATATTTTTGCAAAAGCAATTGTTTGTTAAAAAATGATTAAACATCAATGGTTTTCTTATATATTGATGATTTTTTAATTTCGATAAACAAATCAATAAATATCCTTTTAGAGCTTAATTTGATAGCCAAAATAGAAGAAAATATAAATCCGTGGGATCTCTGTTGGTCCAATTGCTTCAGTTATAATGTGGCAATGCTGAAGCCGTGAACGTTGTTTTAGAAAGACAAGTTCGAGTCTTTCAGGAGATGAAGATGTAAATCTGACAGAATATTCTAAGATTAATTTGTTCAAATTTCTCTTACTAATCCTTTTTTCTCTCAAAGCCTTTCTATAGGATTATAAATTACCATATTATATGCATGCGGATATATAATATATATATTACACACACAAAATAAGACTTTGAATTAAGTCCACTGTAACAGATTCACCCGCCTTTTCGCCTTCATAGAGGAGAAATTATGTATGTGAAAATATATATATATATATATATGTATATATATATATGTATATAGTGGGAGAAGAATAGTTACTTTCTTTATTAAAAAATGTAAGGCAATTTTTAAGAGCTTGGATGTTAAAATGTAAGGTAATTTTAGCATTTCAAAGTATAACTAATGTTTTTTTCTCAAAAGTGTCCATAATAATAAATCATTATATATTTATTTTAAAGTGAAATACCCTATTAGAGAAAGGTGAATATGAATATATGGTTTTAATTTAAAAAAAATTAACAACTTTATTAAGGGGTAAAAGTCGATTAAAATTATTTTATATTTTTTAACAGGAGGAGTAGGTTCTAAAGCTTTGAATTAATAACACAGGCCATAACAAAACTTTCTAAAAATAAGTTAAAATATCAATTTAGATAATTATAAATTTAAGAATTTCAATTACAACTAAAATATTTAAGTTTCAAATATAATTCTCAAATTGCATATTGTGTTCGTGTGTATAATTGTCTTTACAGAATCGATATTTACAATTTATTTTTTTAAAAAAAAGATGTTGTCGTTGGATCTAATTATCATTAATTAATCAAAGTTTTGGGATTTAATACTGTCATTCTTCTGTCTCTCCTATATATATGTATGTATGTATGTAAAAGTTGGAAGTTCAAAGAAAGAGAAACTTTGAATGTAGTTCGGTGTGTCAGATTCATCTGCTCTTGTTTGCCTATAAAGTGGAGAAATTGGGGAGCTAAAATGTGAAAAGGAATTACGTATTATACATATATAATATGTAATTTCAAAAAATTACAGATTATTGGGGAAGCAACTGCATCAGAAAATTATACTCTCAACTTTGAAATCCATATTAAGAATCTACCCTAATTTATTTATTTAGGGAGAATTAAATTTAAAGACCACTTGAAGAAATTATTTATAGCTAAGGACAAACAATAAGTCTTATTAAAAAAAACAAATCACATTCTTATTTTAACAACAATTCATTTCGTATTGATATTTGTTTGTAAATAATTTTTTTAAGTGGTCCTTAAATGTAATTCTCCCATTTATTTATTGCACAAGAGACTGACCGATCCAGTTTAACGTTCTGTGGTCAAACGTGTGTGTTTGTGTGTGTATAATATAGCATACTGAAATAAAAACAAATTATGGTGAGCTTGCAACTAGGGAAGATTTATGTGCATGGCTCCATATGTGGCTGTTCATCAATTAAACCCTTCTATCCGAATATTAGTGTGCAACTGGGGAAGATTTATTTTTGTGTAGCTAGAGAGAAAAGCACGCATGCATTTAAATATTTTATACATACCTTTTCTTGGTCTCATATATTTCAATAATTTTTCTGATGTTATGAGTTTCCCAATTCCTAGAATTGGGTGATCTGTTCATGGATGTCTCTGTAAATAGTATAAAGTTGCAATAGTTTTTTTTAATCAAAAGTTGCATTTAAATTTTCCTGATATGAGATAGTAAATTAAAGAAACTTATGAAAATTATAAACCCTATATTGATTTAATTCACATTTTCTCATGTTTCTGTACAATACTAAATTAATTAAAGAAACGTTAAGAAAATAATTACCTTTTCATATACTTATAAGATATAATTCTTTTTATTATTACTTGTCTTTGAAAAGACTTGTATACTATTCTACGTTGCCATCAGGGCTTTTCATATCTGAGGAAGGTTTGAACTTGTTGATTAATGAAAGCAGGGCATAGACAATTTTCCTCTCTTCATTGTACTGCCAATCTTTTGTTTCTTTGTCCTCTGTCTCTAGCTAGACAGAATAATCAAGCGGATATTTAGCTCTTCGACCTCTGCAATAACTTTATTATATTATATATGTCATCTGTGCATCCATCTGTCAATATTGTAATTATTTTCTATACTCTGTATGGTGATGCACAAACACACGAAGCTTCATTTTTTTTATCCCTTACAAAAGCTCCAAACTCTCTGCAGGTAGTGTTTATAAAGCTTTGTCTCGTCTCCTTCAACTGATAAGAGATCTGAAACAAGTTTCTACTGGCTTTGGCATTTAGGACTGATTGATTCTGGGAGGCTTTGGCATTTAGCTCTTTTTGATCAATGAGCCTTAACAATATGGCAGACATTAATGGCAGTACTGTGCGTGAACTCGACCATCATAACAAGAACAAATGGAAGATGCCTCTCTTTGTTTTCTTCAACGATGCAAGGTATATACCTAGCTACACCTATATATATATCATCGTCCACCGTTTCAATCTGATGAATCTGTTCTTGTTTGAACACAACCAACTCACATCATCACTGTGTCCACTGTTCACATATATCTGTCAGTGTATAATTTGCTTTTAGTTTATCCATTGATTGATTGAGATTCATCTCTTAATTATGTCACCTACAATATCATTGTGACTGTTTATATATAATGATGATGATGTGGAGTTAATAACAACGGATGGAATGAGGAATGGTTTTGCTGAGTTTGAGGATGCCTGTCCTTGTTTTCTTCAACGACGCAAATTATATGCGCGCGCCCACACACACACACACACACACATATCACAGTCCACTGTTTGAATCTGAAACTGTTCTTGTTTAAACACAACCAAGTCATATATATGACCATGTCTGTCCATATCAGCTGTCTTAATTTGGATTGACTGAGATTCATCTCTTTCTGTCACCTACCTTACATTGTGTCTGTTTATATGTATGTGAAGCTGGTTAATATATAAAGGGGATCTTTGAATTGAGGAGGATGATGATAATGATGTAGTATTAATTAATAATAATTGGGATGGAATGAGGAAGTGTGTGTGTGTGTAATATATATTTTTTTGATGTGTTTGAGGATGAATTTTGCTGTGAATGTAGCAAAGTGTTGACTATGGATGGAATTGGTCGGGAATTGATTGGAATTGCGTTTCCTGCTGCTTTGGCTGTGGCTGCTGATCCTCTTGCTTCTCTCATTGACACTGCTTTCATTGGCCACTTAGGTACGTAATTAAGCTTCCAAATCAAATGCTTTTCAATTTTTGTATGCCCACCCTAGCACTCATCATGATATATATGAGAACTGTACTGAATATTAGAAATGGGAATATGTGCCAACCCGAATCATGTGAGTTAGCTCAAATAGGTTAGGAAGAAAATGAATGAGGTTGAGTTCAAGTTAACTTGACTGTATTTCCAACTTTACTAATAAATATAGCCAACTCCTTATAAGTATAATTTGTGGTTGGGATGCAAATACAATACTACTTTGGCAATTAGGTTTTCATTTACAATTGCAACTTTACAATTTGAGTAAAAATTCTTAATTCATGAATCTAATTTCTTATTCAATTCTTGATATAACATGAAGTATCCATGGAGTTTAATTATACCTACTTAAGACTATAATTACATAGTAAATTTTGAATTTTACATCCCAACCAGTCATTATAACCTTAAGTAGATATATTAATTCTATAAAGACTCCATGTTTATATCAAGTGTTAAACAAAAAATTTGACTTGTGAATTACGAATTTTTACTTGTAACTTTTGAAGTTGCAATTGTAAATGAAAATCAACTTAATTGTGGTAATATTATCTTTGTATTCCAATTATAAATTACACTCAAGTATTAAGAGAGTTGGCTGTAGTTTTTAAATTTCATGAGACTTATTTATGAGACCTATTCATGATTTTTCCATGTTGCTATTATATTTTACAACAGAATTAGCTACTGTCAGCTTTGAATTAATAAATTTATAACATAATTTTAAGTAAATTATTAATTTTCTTAAAACTATGATCTTCAACATAATTTTTTTGAGAAAAAACATAATTTTAGATCTCTACACTTTGTTCAAATTTTGTTATAGGTTCTTGCACTTATTTTTTGACATTCTATGTCCCTAATTTTTTTTTTTTTTTTTTTGCATCTTATAAGGTTCCTCAGTGTTACAGGGACCTAACAAGGTGCCAATGGAGAAAAGTGTAGGGTTCTGGAATATAGAAAAAAATGTAGAGACCTATAGCAAAACTCGAGTAAAGTGTAGGAATCCAAAATTATGTTTTTCCTTTTTTGAGATTCTTTAATCTAAACTTTCTGGAGATCCGGATCCTTAAACAAGCATAATTACGTTTAGGCCTGAAGATAACTTGTTCAATCATATTTCTTGGTGATGAATAAATTTATATATATATATATATATATAGGAGCTGTGGAGCTTGCTGCAGCAGGAGTATCCATAACACTGTTCAACCAAGCTTCAAGAATCACCATTTACCCTCTGGTGAGCATCGCAACTTCATTTGTGGCAGAGGAAGATACAATCAAGAAAATCACAGCAGCTACTAATAAACCACCACAAGCTGATCATGATTATAATAAGAAGCCAACCAAAGAAGGTGTGGTAGATGATGAGGCCAACGTGCTTAATAATATTAATCCCGACATTGAAAAAGGTTGTCCCGGACAGCTAGTGAATCCTAGTTCTGTTGGAAAAAACTCTTCCTCTGCGAATGGTGATTCCTTTACCAAAGCCTCTGATGATGTGTGTCACAATCATAAGAGTAAGAGTAAGAATCAGAGCAATAAGAAGAAGAGGAAACAAATTGCTTCAGCATCAACAGCTTTAATATTTGGGACAATTCTTGGCCTCATCCAAGCATCACTCCTCATTTTTGCTGCCAAACCTCTTTTACTTCTCATGGGTGCCGAACCAGTAAGTCTACTGTTTTCCTCATTAACTTAGGGAGAATTACATACAGAACCAAAAAGTTAAGAATAAGTGGTTCAAAATTTGAAGGGCATGAATGCAAATTATTAAAATCTGTGTACTAAATTTTTAATATTCCACAAAGGGAAGGGGTGCATTTGCCCCTCAACTTAATGTGGCTTCACCAATGTGTGGGCATCTTGGCTCCGCCACTAGCTATACATGTGGATATGAGTATTGGGCAAAGAAGAATAATGATTTTTTTTTTCTTTTTTTTTGTTAACTACAGGATTCTGCTATGCTGATTCTTGCGCAGAAGTACTTGAAACTGAGAGCACTGGGTTCTCCTGCTGTTCTTCTAGCTTTGTCTATGCAAGGAATCTTCCGAGGCTTCAAGGACACTACAACCCCCTTATATGTTATTGGTAGGAATACACTTGTTTTAATTAATTAATTATCTTATCATACTTTATATTAACAATATGTTAGTCCAGCCAAGCTTAAACCCATCGAGATCATAATTGTAATGGGGTAGATTTCTTGTACTTCTTTAAAGATGTGCGTGCATGCATATTTCTTTAAATTAGCTTGTAATTTATATATGACTTAGATGATTTATTTTCTAATAATTTATTTTATTTCAAATCAAGTGTAATGCTGAGTAAAATTAGTAAATGGCTAATATTTTTAAAATATTAATAAAGAATTTGAATCATGTGAATTAATTCTGAACAAATATTGGAAAACAAAGTGCACACAATAATATACAATTCCCCCAAAAACTATACCAAATATGTATGCTAATTAATTTTAAGCTTAAATATGAAAAAAAGGGTTCGCTAATGTTTCCTTTAAGTAATTTCTTTCATTTGTTGATTTGATTTTTATTTAGTTATCGGGTATGCCATAAATGTGGCATTGGATCCATTACTTATATTTCACTTCAAGTTAGGCCTCAAAGGTGCAGCCATGGCCCATGTCATCTCACAGTAAGTCTCTCTCTCTCTCTCTCTCTCTCTCTCTCTCTCTCTATATATATATATATATATATCATAATAAAATATACTTTATTATTATTGTTATTATTTTCATTAACCAAGAAAATTGATCTGAGATTGGTTCAGGTACTTGATGGCACTTGCTCTGTTGTTAATATTATTGAGAAGAGTTGATCTCTTACCTCCAAGTATTAAGGATTTGCAGATTTTCCGCTTCCTTAAAAACGGTGAGAATCTTACATTAATTAATTGTTAATTAAGTTATGAAGAAACCTATGACAAATTATTAATCTTATTTTTTGCAATGTAATAAATACTATTTGACACTTAAAAATTGAATTGAATTATGAATACTACTGCAGGAGGGTTGTTGATGTTAAAAGTAATAGCAGTAACATTTTGTGTGACATTTGCTGCATCATTAGCAACAAGGTTAGGTCCAATTTCCATGGCTGCTTTCCAAACATGTCTACAAGTTTGGATCACTACTTCCCTTCTTGCTGACGGTTTAGCCGTCGCTATTCAGGTAACTAACTACGCTTCGTGTATTGCAGAGTTTGAAAAATGAGTTTTAATGTTCATGACTTATAAATAATTTTTCTAAAAAAAGGGAAAATAAAAAATAAGTGATAACCATTGAGGACAATGAAGTCTTGAAATTGAGGATCCTTTTCTGTAGTAATAAAATCAGTACCCCTAAAATTATGAGCAAATGTACATTTCGGACAGGGATGTTTTAGTCGAAACATTATTTTTTAAAACTATAGAAAGAGAGCATGGTCCTGAATTTCAATTTCAACATTTTGTGATCTTGAATGATTATTACTAATTTTCACATGTCTTTAATATAGAATTTCCCTTTTAAAAAATTTCAAAGAAAAAATTCAGAGTGATCACTTTTTTAAATTGTTTGTTTTGTGTGTGTGTGTGTGTTGTGTGTGTGTGTGTGTGTGTGTTTTTTTTTTTTTTTTTTTGGGTGAGTGACAGGCAGTTCTAGCATGCTCGTTTGCTGAGAAAGACTATGTCAAGATCAAAGCAGCAGCCGCAAGAGTACTTCAAGTAATTAATAATAATATTTGCTGCATATATATAAAAATCAAAACTGAATTATTATTTAATTAGTGATGAGTTAATTAATGAATTAATATATTGATGCAGATGACTTTTGTAATGGGAGTAGGGCTGTCTCTTGTAGTTGGCATTGGTTTGTACTTCGGTGCTGGTGCCTTCTCCACATCCTCTGGTGTTCTCCAACTCGTCAGAATAGGCCTCCCTGTATGTTTAATTTCTTTACATTTTCACTCATAAATATAAGTCATCATGAATTATTAGTTATGAGAAAAACTTATAGACTTATTGTTTCCAATTAAATTAAAATATGTGGATCTTGTGTAGATTATTTATTGTATAATAAATTCTTGTTATTAATTTTATTAACATATTAGGAAACATTTGTCATGATTTGATTGAATATAAGTATATTAAGTATATAAGGCTAAGTATATAAGTCTTACCCATTAGTTATTACCCTATATATTGGTTAAAAAAAAGAGAGAATCTCAGTAAAGGACCCTAGAAGTAATTTAATTTCATAAAAGGACCGCTAATAAGTAAATATTAATAATTATGAAGTTCTTGTTTTAAGTATATGATTTGTTTGGGTCCTTATCAGTATTAAATTCTTCCAGGATTCTTTCATTTATATTCTCCAAACAAAAAAATTTAAGTGAGTTGAGTTTTAAGAGCTCATTAAAATTATAGTATGCCTCAGGGCTGACAGAGCACTTACAAAGATATTTATAGATTGTCCATCAAGAGAACGTCACATTATTAAAAGTCAAATCCATTCTCTATAAATATAATCTCAACTTTGTTTGACGTACTTGAAACTTTTTTTATGAACAGGGAGAATAATGTTTAGGCATCCCAACACAATTAAATCTCACAAAACCATTGCGACAAATGTGTTATTTTGCTCTATTCAGTTGTCACTAATGAAGCTTATGTAATATTTAATTGTGTTTTTTTGAGAGCTTGTTTGTAATTCTCCCTATTCTAACAATGCAGACATGCATGTGAACGTTAAAAAGCTTTAGATTTTGTGTGCAACTAAATTAATGTTGTACTGTGTTGGATTGAGAATGGATGACAGTTTGTAGCAGCAACACAACCAATCAATGCATTAGCGTTTGTGTTCGACGGTGTCAACTATGGAGCTTCTGATTTTACTTATGCCGCAACTTCTTTGGCAAGTTTTTTTCCCATAATACCCTTAATCCCATTTGGAATTATAGCATATTAATTATGAGCAATATATTAAGATTAATTACCGTTCATATCATCAGGTGTTGGTTTCAATTGTGAGCGTTGGAATAGAATATGCCATGTATAAAATGAAAGGCTTCGTTGGGATCTGGATTGGTTTGAGCATATATATGGCTCTTCGCATGCTCGCTGGTGTTTGGAGGTGTGTGTATATGCATAAATAAATATATATATATATATATATATTATTTCGTTGTTATATTGTCTCTTATACTTAAAACCTGAATTAAAGTACATGCTTGTTTGGCGTTTGTTAATTAAAGTGCTTTTAAATCGACATTGCAGGATGGGAACAGGAACAGGACCTTGGCGATTCCTCAGACGATGAAACGGTGTCGTTGAATCTCTCCACCATGCGTGGTCAATTTTTTCCCTTTCATTTTAGGCAAGATTACACTCCGACTTTTCACGTCGGATCGATCTTTGAGATTCTGGAATATTGCACCGTTTACATGTACCTATAATACGTATGAAATAATATAACACTATTTGTTATCTTTATCGTTTGTGGTGATTCAATTGTTTTCAGAGGAGTTTTGTTCTCCACGCTTATATATACTAATATAATATAGTGTGTGTGCACTGATGTCTTTTTATTTGATTCAATCTTATCTAAGACACGGTTGAAAAATAAATATGAGCACATTTTCCTATAAAAATTCAAATATTAATGATTTGTCATATTATGAATAGCTAACTCTTTCTATTAGATCCAACTCCTATAATATGTGTGTGTATTATATGGATGCTATTTGTCCTTTGTATGTATTATTTGGTTTTTCATCATGACCAAGGAAATCATTAAAATTATATGTACGAGATAATTGCCTTAGCCATGCATGCTTGCACTCATACTTTCTGGATCAAATTTTTGGGCAGTTGAATTCCACATTTTTCATATAATTTGCATCATCCAAATTGATAATAACCATGCATGTCTGCAAGTCTAAAATACTTCTTGAAATGTGCTCGAAAGATTCAAGGGACAATACAATTAGTTGTCAATGCAGTTTAATTCAGTTGTTAATGAATTTTGCAGTAATTAATTTTCTTGTGTAGGACTTAACTGTAATTCTTTCAAGATTCAAAGCTACCAAAAGACTTCTAACTCAACACTACTATAGAATATATCTTTAGGAGCGGGTATTTAGGAGCACTTCTTTAAAAAGCGCTCTAAAATATGAATGTGGAATTTACCGGAGCGCTTTTCTAAAGAAGCGCTCCTGTATGTCAGTGCTTTTCAATAAGATAACACTCCTAATTAATATAAATAAAATATTGTAAAAAATTTAAAAAGACCTTCGGGAGTGCTCATAGTTAAGTGCTTTGAAAAACTATCTTCTGGAGCGCTCGTCAAAGAGTGCTCCGAAAGAGAGATCTTCCGGAGCGCTCTTTGATTAACTTGACTCAATGGTACCAGATTCAGCCTCAACTTTGCTATGTAGGAGAGGTTGGAGGATCAAACTTGGGAAGGCTCCCTTAGCGCAGTGGGTACGGGGAATAACTCCTGAACCACCATTGAGTCAACTTGGGAGAGAGAATCTGATTTTTTTCAGTCATTCCTTCTTTTTCCCTCTACCCTTTTCCCTTCCCTTACGTTTTCAATCATCGTCGGCGATCGTGGGCTCCTCATTATTTTGCAGAAAGTATCCGGATCTGCTGCCATTCATCATTTCTGTTCTGTTTCTTTTTTATTGGTATTGCTGTCAATCATTGCCGTGGGTAGGTACCGAAGCTTCGTCTGTTACTTGAGCGTGAGCTTTTCTTCTCCTTTTTGCTTTCAATATCCCTCATCTCCTTCTCTTTTGCTCTTCCAAGCTAGACATTCAGAGCTCCCCTGTTGGTGCTGTAGATTTTCTTTTCCTTTCCTCCTCTCAGTTCAGCTACGCAGTGGCTCTCATCGTGCTCCTCTTTTGTTCTGTTTTACTGGGTTGAGGTGAGGAAATTCAAACCTTTTCATTGTTGGTTCTACAATGGGTGTGAGTGTGTTATGTTGTTGTTGTGTGTGAAGTTACAAATTTTTGTGTGCGCCCTGCTGCTGTTATGCTGTTGTAAGGAGGAGGAGGAAATTCAAATTTGTGCTGGAAATTATCTTAAAGGTTGATAATGATATACCTAAAGTCAACTTTGAAGTTAAATTCATTTTGTTTAAATTGATTCATAGTGAAGATTTGGTTAGGATAAAATTAGAAAAGATGAGATACAAAACTTGAGGATAGATGACAATAAGGTGGTTGTTGAAATACTTGTTAGAAGAAAATGAACTTAATTTTTAAATATTTATAGAGTTTCATTAATTTTTGTGTAAAATATGAATTTTAATTCAATGTTGTAAAGAACATTTGCCTATAAAATTAATAATGTGATTTTTGAATTCTTGAAAATGGATAGTTGTTGATGAATTATTGAATGCTAGCATTTTTATGAGAAGATTGAAAGTGATTTATGGTGGGGTGCCTTGACCAAACACTGGTGAGGATTTTTTTTAAAAGTCCCAAATGCATTATATTTGAATATTGCTGGTGAATGAGGTTGAAAAGGAATTACTATATTGGTTGTATATTTAATAAAATAAAGTCTTAATTCAATTTATAAGGTGTTTGAAGGAAAAGAAATTTAATTGATGTTGAAAGATGAATTATTAAATTATGGGGGTATTTCAGGTAAGTGAATAGTGTCCTAACTGATATTTCAATAACATTTTCTTTATTCAAATATTACATTTTTATGCAAGTTTTTTGTACTACAACAATGTGATTATTAGATATTTTGTTGATTGAATTACTTTATTTTGTGAAATTATTTTACCAGATTTGATAATTTTAATTAATTAGTAAAAACAAGTTTGAATTCTAATTATGAGATTTCATTCTGAAAATTATTGAATTGCTGTGGAAAATGATTCATGCGAGTTTGACATTGAAAATAAAAAATCTTATTCTAATAGTAAATATTTTCTCACATGTTTAAATTGGGTTTGAAAGGAACTTTATACAGAACACTGGTTGCTAACGGCAATTTCGTTAACCCTTGGCGCGCCATGGTTAAGTATTATCTAATTCAATTTTCATGACATTTGTTCTCATGTTTGTTATCCATAGGTCTCATACCTGTGTTTGTTTCCATGGCTTTGAGCAGCGTTTGATTAGCATTATCCTCGTGGACTATGTATCCACGTTTGTTCTATGGCTTCGGTTGTGTTTAGTTATTTATCCTCGTAGACTGTGTGTCTATGTTTGTCTTCATGCCATAAGTTGCGTTTGGTTATTTAACCACATAGACTGTGTGTCCACATTTGTTACTTATTCTGATAAGTCCTTAAAATTATGATTTTTTAATTATTTGATAGATCTATTTTTCATTGGTTTTAATTAGTAACATATTTATAATTATTTAAAGTAATTATTTGCTTTATTGAAATTACATGATAATGACGTTTGAAATGATGCTTTAATGAATCAAGAATTTATTTAAAGTTATATATAGTCCTTTTATGCCAAAATTTATTAAATAATTGTTTGCAAAAATTGTTATCTCTAGCACATATAATTATGTTAAACCTTCTTTTTACACATATTTAATTATTTATTATTTGCATGCTATTCACTAGAAATTTATCTTAGTCTCAGATTTATTAGTTGATGTTGATTCAATTGCTGACCTTTGAAGGGTATACATTTGTTCTAGGTGAAATTTTACCTAGCGTTATCTTCTTTTGATGTCCACGTTTGAATTCATATATTTTATTATGAAAGGAAGGTTAGATGTTTCACATAGCCTATAGCTAGGTTTCTATTTTGATATATGTTGTCTGTTGGCTGAAAAGAGCTAAGCTCCTGATTAATATTATATGTTGTGTAAAATATTGTGTTGTAGAATTTTCAGGAGATCCTATTTATAGGAAAAGTTCTATCAAAATTTCTACAAAAATATTGAAACTTTCATTATAATGATTTCTATTAAGTATGTTATCATTTTTAGTACAAATTCAACTACGTTTTAAAATGAAAAGATTTCTAAATTTTAGGCTTAAGGGATGTGTGATATGGTTCACATCCCCTGTCGGTCACTTTCTATTTTTGGGGTTTGACAATTAACATATTTCACAATAGGAAGTATAGAACCAATTCTATTGACACATGTAGCTAAATCCTCATGAACATTGGCACTCTTATCAAGACCATAGTTGGCTATATGGTGAGTTAACCACTATCAAGGTACCAAGTAGGGTGACAGACAATTTTTGGACTAATAAAATATGCTTTAGGGTTTGATGATTTTCCTCCTTGACCACTGCTAACAAAATTCTTATCATATTTGTGATAGCAATCTTTCACTTTATGTTCAAACTTATGACAAAGTTGGCATTCAACCTTGTCTGTCTTACCACCTTTGCCATTGATACGGCCTCAACCTCTTCCTCCACGATGACTACCATGTTGAGCAAAGGAGTTACCTCCTTTCCACAGGGTCTTAGAATTAAAGCTAAAAGAACTATCAATCTTAAAAGCAAGATTAGCAAATACATTACCTAAGTCAACAGCAAGATTATAATGAACTGAGTCCAAAAAGTTCTCATAAGTGAGGAGTTTAGCTTGTAACTCACTCCAAGTGAGATATTCTTTCTCATTGAGTTGAACCATTATTAAGGTATATTCTAAGTCAAGTCTTACAAGAGTTACAGGATGAGATCTTCTTCAGACTTAGAACTTCTTGCAAGTACAAGCTAGTCAAAGAGAGTCCTTATCTTATTGATGCACTCCTCCATCTTCAAGGATTCTTTTCATGCTCACTATAGATTTCCCTTGAGTTGAATGATCTTTAACTTAAACTGTGTGCCAGCTTGCTCTTGAGCACACTTCCAAATCTGTGCAGCAGTCCAACGATGCAACATTTGAAGTTGCATATCAGGGGACATAGCACTAGTATAGATTTGGTTTTTTATAAGGGACTTTTTATATTGGTTGGTAGAAAAATGATGTAGAAAATCAAGGCAATGACAATTTTGTAATTATCAATTTGACTATTGGACTTTCTACATTAGTTTATTAAGGAACCAATGTAAAAAAGACATCTTACATCAGTTGCTTAGTTAACCGATGTAAAAAGTGATTAAAATTTTTAAAATTAAAAGAATTAATAGGCAACCAATGTAGAAAGTAAGTAAAATTTTAAAAAATTTAAAAAATTAATTACTTTCTACATCGGTTTTAGTTATATTGGTTCCTTAAGGAACTCATATACTTTTTACATTAGTTTTAGTTATAATTGATGTAGAAAGTACATTAGTTCCTCAGGGAACCAATATAAAAAGTCTTTTAATTTTTTACATCATCTTCCTCCTCTGACACAGATATCATTTTTCATTATTTCTGACTCAAAAATGCAATTTTCTCCTCAAGTTTCACCATTTTCCTTGCCTAAAATTACAAATCTTCAATGGTATTGATCCTTTCTACCTATTCTCATCCTCTTCTCAAAACCCTATCTTCCATTT